TCGAGAATCTGAGACAGGAATTTCTGTGGGTATTCCTGGTCCATCAGGGGGTCCATCCAACTCATCAGTCAAAGGATGTACTGTGGACTCAGCGGACACATCAACGAACTGCATCTTCTCGCTGTCGTACCTCAGTCTTGACTTAGCCTCCAGCAGCTCGAAGGGAACACTCTCGACGCCGGCCTTGTCAGCATCGCCCATCATGAAGACGCGCCCAATGTGGTACTTCCAGAGCTGTCCGCGACGAGGGACTCATACAGTTTCCCCTTCTTGAGGAACGACAAAGCACGGACCTTTTGCCGTCGAGCCACGGCGACCAATTCTCCAAGCCATCACTGGCTCACCCTCGCTGAACTGAAGCCTTTCCAACGCACGGCGAGGTCGTCCCAATCTGGCGCGGGCCAGTGTTCGCATCCAGCTCCATCAGAGCTTTTCTCGCCGCTGTCAAAATCGTGTGGGACCTTTCCCAGGCTTCATCTTGGCTCGTGCTGAGGTGGTACTCTCGCTGATCAGACAAGGTGTCGAGTGACAATGTCGGTTGCTCTCCAAGCACCTGTTGAGCTGGTGAGTGCCCGTGCGATTCGTCAACGTCTGGAGGCTCCAGCTTACTTCAAAGATCATCGTCTCCACCTCCTCGACGGTGGCCGGTTGTACCAACTCCTGCGTCCTGTAGTACACCTCCTTGAACATGCCGCCCTGCGCTCCACAGCTCCGATTGAAAAATGGTGCCTGCCAGGGGACCTCCAAGGGGATAATCCCGCGTCGCTCGAGCCTATCTTGAAACACAGTTCCGGTGAACTCCCGGCCTTCATCGAACATCAAGTATTGAGGAGCCCCGAAGACTCTTAGCCAGAGGCGACTGAATCCTTGCCATGTAACATGGGCAGACTTGGAGAGGGCATCTATCATTCCGAAGGTACTGTAGAGAGTGCCCAGGCAGGTGATGTTGAGAACTGGGTGCTCTGCCATTCGGCACGTCCCAGCAGTAAATCACCACCAGAACCAAGTGTTTGCGGACCTCAGGGTCCCACACTCCAGATGCACCTTGTTCCAGCCACTTCCGTTGATTGGCTGAAACCATCACGGCAGACCATCGCAACTTTCAGCCACCGGGACCAACCTTCGGCAGGACAGTCTAGGTAGGGCACATGGCAATCAGCATTGCCTGGCCATAGTGGTCTCTGCAGACTTCATCACCATGACCAAACTGACGAAAGTCACGACGCAGCCCACTCGCTCAAAGTCGTAAGGAGCCCTGTTGCTCTGGAACTTGGATCCATTGTCCTTCCGACCAGGTAGACCAAGGGTCTTTCACATCATACGGTACTTTCTGACCACCCCTCCGCCTAGTGGCCAATGACAAATGACATATGTTCAATGGACCCAAATACCTGTTGCGAACACTCTGTCGATGCTTGTGAATCAAGTGTCCCAGGTAGACTGTTGTGAACACTCAGTCGATGCTGGTGCATCAAGTGTCCCAGGTAGCCGTTGTGAACACTCAGTCGATGGTAGTGAACCATGCGTACCACGTAGAGTTTCTCAGCTGACACAAGTCACCGGATTCAGCTCCTTCATAGGGAATCATGGTGTCTTCACATAGTTCAAGAAACTGGTCCATTTCACCCGTAGTCCGATCCATCGCTTCAATCAACTTCTTCTTGGTCTTCTTGTCCAAGGCGATCTCGATGGGATCGAATCCAGGACTCATCGCAACGACCCGGGTGCCCAAAGGACGTAGCATTCGCACCGGGGCCTGGGCCGGAACTCTCGTGCTGTAAAGCCCAAGACCACAGTTCGCGATGGGTCCATCATGTTGAAGGCCTCCTGAAGTCCAGGACACTCGTCGCTGACTGATCCAAGCCAGCCAATCATCTGGAACCCTGTTCCGGGCTGCAGGAGAACTGGGTTGTATCCCGTTCCCCACCTCGGGCCATTCCATCAAAGACCGCCGCGCATCGCTCATCTCCCCCGTGTAGAGACACTCCCGAGCCAGGGGCCCCAATCTCCATCTGCATTGGCTGCCGCCGTAGTCGCAGGAGTCGGGGCAAAAGTCGTATCCTTCTTCACTCCCTTGTTGTTCGTGCGCTCCTTGGGGCGTCTCGTAGTCCGGCCTCAGGTAAATCAGCACATCGTTCCACACTTGCGGTGGCATCTTTGGGATCTGCTCCACCATGTTGCATCTCAGGCACTTGACTCACTTGACCCAGCAACACTCCGCCTTGGCTCCATGCTTGGCTTGGTCTCCGAGTGGCTGCAGCTGGTGCTTTCTCGAAGGATCGGGGTGAAGTACTTCGCTCGGCCACGCTGTTCTGCTCGGGGTCGAAGAGCTTCGGCATGGTCGGGGAGCTTCACGATCTCTCTCCCCATAGTCGGACGAGATGGTCCCGAAGATGCCAACAGCTCCTGCTGCTCCTGCTCCTTCGCTGCAGGGCCAATGCTGGGCACTCGAGGCTTTACGTCGGGCTCGTCGAAGGTTGGGCTCGGTGATGATCTTCTCGAAGGTCGACAGAGGCTGCATGGATAAGGCAAAGAAGCAGCGCAACACAAATCTGCGCCACCGAAGCTGCCATTTGAACCACCTGTCATGAAACACGCGAATTAAGAGGTCGGTGAGTGGCGAGGGCTTCAAACCCAGGTCCCACAATTCACTCTGGAGAAAGTCATACATTTGCGGGATGGACCAACGTTCTCCAAAGTCACACATATCCACTTCAACGTGACCAGAGTCCCTGAATTTCATGTTCTGAAATGCTCTCACTGACGTGTACACAATCTGACAGGTCTTGATGTCTATCTCGGCACCCAACTTCGTGAGAAAATACGCTGGTAGCAAACATGGTACATCACCGGGAACCATCTGTATACTGTTGCAAGGTCAGCTCTCCTGTTAAGCCATGCTGTGCAGCTGTATCGACCAAGGCCCCACCCCCAGACTCCGGATTTGAAGTAGCACTCGATAAATTCGGGAAGCTCCCCTCCATGTATTGCTCGATCGGCTGAGCACGACTGGTCTGGTGAGGCATGTCCAGCTCACTGGAAAATTTCAGAACAAACTCGCTGGGAACTTCTTCCACGAGTCTAGAGAACACCTGGGGTGAGGAAGTCGGGCTGCCAAGATAGCACACGCCTTCGGATGAGGGCTGCGGCACTGTTCACAAAGAACATGCTTGCCGTTGGTGCCGCACGGTTTCCGGAGGCGGCAGCTGCAGTCAGCGGTCCTCGATTGGACCCAGGCACAAGCGGTTTCCTTCACTGTGGACACTCTCTTGACCAGTGTCCCAGTTGACGGCACTGGTGGCATCGCGTCCGGGCCTTTATCTCAGAGATCGAAGCTCGGGGCCGAGGAGGGTTGCCGATGGGAGGCCGCGTGAATCCTCTGAGGCCGCGTGAATCCTCTCGGATCTCTGCTGCTGAAGAGCTGGTCGATGCTCCGTGCAAGAGCGCTCGGCCGTTGTCCCGTAGATCCCGAAGCCCCTTCCGTGGTTTGCCCTTTCCTTTGCCTTTGCCCTTAAACTTGCCCTTCCCTTTCTTTTCCTGCGCCAGCGGTCCGAAGTCTCTCCGAAAACATAGCTCATCAACTCGCCGCTGAAGGTGATGGCCTCATCCTCGTCTATCAGCTGCGTGGGGCTCGTCGAGGTATACATAGATCTCCCCGTCATCTCCCACCTCGAGAACATCATCGAAGATCCCGTCCGAAACCCTCTAAGAAGACCCCGAAGCCATCATCCGCCGGGCCGTGGTAGAAGGTCTCGCCGTCGGGTTCGTTCGGGTCAACGTACTCCCCATCCTGGAAGCCCCAATCATCAGCATACGCCTCCAGGTCGTCTTGCCAGAAGGTCTGTCCATGGCCGCCGTGCTCGTCGATGGCATCGCTGAAGATCTTGCGGATCGCCTCCTCGGCCTTCTTGAATAATCAAAGGGGGGGGCAGCCGCTCGGTACAAACGAAGCTTCCTTGCATACTCTCTGTACTGCTGCTCCGGACGTTCCCCGTCGCAGCTGGGCTGCCTCTCCATCTTGTAGTCGACGAATCGCCGGCCAGCGCCGGCCCCACTTCCATCCAGGCCTTCAGCTCCATACTGAGCCACACGTGATCGGGGCCGCAAGGGTGAGGTCGGCCTCGTCGGAGTCGAAGGAGCGCCCAAAGCAAATCTCTCTGCGGTCGGGCTCTTATACTCTGCTTCCGCTCCAACGGCAACTGTCCCACTTCCAAAAAAACTTCCGCGCAAGCTGCAGATGCCACAAAACTCCCAAAGAACTCAAGATCCCCCGAGTCCTTGGCTCCAAAAAAAAGAGCCTGCTGCCACTTAAACGCGCAAGCACCGGGAAACAGGTAGTAGAACTTGGTGTTGTTCTTGTACACAACTGGATCGCCTTCCCCACACGCAGAATCGGGTACTCGCAAAGCTTCAGAGCCTTGAGCTTGCCCGGGCGTTCCCCGGAAGTGCAACGGACAGCCTTGGAGCGCTGGTCGTCACCAAGTCTCCGCTACCATGTAGAACGAAGCCTAACTTGTCGCACGGGCGTGCTCCTTTTCTCGAGACTCAAGGCGCCTTCGGTGGTAGCAGGTCTGCACAGCCGACTTGTGATGCTTGCCAACCCCATTATGACATGAAAAACGAACTGATGAACATGTCTGACTTGAGCTGACTTTGGTTGGTTTCGCACAGCTAATCCGCACTTCAGAGTCTTGGAGAGTTGGACCTAGTATATATATTATTTATATGTATATATATATATACATATATATATATACTCCAAACAACCCAACAACCCAAGAAGTCCATTCTGAACAGAGTCACGAAAACCCCTAGATTGCTCTGAATTCCATTCAATTGCTGAAGAGGTAGCCGGATGAAGCCGGACGGGGTTGCAGCAGAGGCTCGTAGTCCTCGTCAGTCTTCAGGGATGCTAAGCCGAAATCGATCAGTCTCGCTGTGCTGTGGTCACAGCAGGAAGCGAGCAGCACATTCTCTGGCTTCCTCAATGTATCGGCACATCATCGAATGCACGCACGTTCTAGTGGCATGCCGCGACTTCTCTGAATGCGACAAAAGCTCAGATCCCGATGGATGACAGCCGGGACAAAGTTGTGAATGTAGCTGACGGCATACGTCACCTCTCGAAAATGCCTGGCGCATTGCACGGGGACCATGCCGGTGATTGAAGCCGAAGCACTCACGCTTAGCTTTGCACGGGAAGTTACCAACAAACAGGAGCCCCTCAGAGGCGGCTCGAGAGGCGCGGGAGTTGCAGTGGTTCCGGTGCGTACAACCGCATGGTGCGGGCGATGACCATCGGCCCCACCCTTTAAACCACCGACGCCAATACCAGCCCGGAAACCGTCGCAGCTTCTGCAAGTGTGCAGTGCGCTCCGAATGCTCGCATAGCGCACAAACGTCCTCCACAGGCGGCAAACATTGGACAAAGCTGTCATCAGACACCGTAGTTATTTCAGAGGCTGTCGTCCGACGTGGCAGCATAGTTCTGTCCTCAAGTATGTTCTGCAGGGACGGCCCAGTGCACAGCTCCATTACGAAAAAGATCCCGCTGCAAGGATCTTCGAACCACTCACGAAACCTGGATTGGACGATGAACAAGCACCAGGCACATTCGTGCAGCCCAACGTGCCATTGCAGCCAACGTGCTTGATGATGAACGGGTTGTCCAAAATCAAGAGAAGCTTCAGCTCTTTTCGAATCTCTTTTTCCGCAGCGCGATTCCGAAAGAAACCTTGCCTTGGGTAGAACAAGCGCGTGTAGCAGTCCGCGCATGTGAATCTGGGCCGAGCTATGCCGAGCTGCCACACTGCCTGCCACTTGATCCTTATGGTCGACAGACAAAGGTATCACATACCTTACCGAAACGAAAAGCACGAGAAACAGCGAGTACAAGCTTAGCTGGCCAAGCCAAGCACAATTTCACAGCCACGTGATTGTCTGCAGATTCGTCCATGCCGTTGACGCGCCACTTGGAGACGGTTCCAAAGGCACCCTGCAAACAGCGACGCCGCGATGTCGAGACGGACAGGCTGTCAAATCCGAGAACATGCAGCTCGGTTCGCTTCTTTTTCCGCTATTTGCTCTTCAGGTCTTTGATCACGCCATCCACCTTGACAGCAACAAGGTCAAACAACTCAGCAGCCTCTTTCTTCATCTCCTCCACCCAGGAGCCTGACTGCCTTTGGTCCCAGCCCAATTGGTACATGTACGAAGTATTTTCATCACCACCGAGTTCAAACTTTGTGTCGTGTGCAATGTTATAAACTCGTATCAGGCCTTGCATTTCACCGTCTGCAGACCTTCCCCGCCAGAGGCAGTGGAGATCCATCTCGTAATACAGGGCCCGCTTGCCTTTCTTGTTGGTGATGGCCGCGCTGATCTTCGTCTGCTCTTTAAGCTCGACAAGTTCAATTGTCGCTCCGCTGGGGCAAGTGTGAGATACGCCGACCACCGCATCTCGTACTCGGCCAGTCGTCCAGTGAGAGAAGTCTTGTTCTGCAAGGTACTCCCTGCTCAGATGCTGAGCAGAATAGCCAGAAGCTGCCTGGAGCTCAGTGCCTTGCATTCGCTGAACTTCAGCGGACTTTTCACCGTCCTTTGCCCGCCTCTTCTTCTCTGCATCAGCTTCAGCAGATGCCCGCAGCCGTTTCAATCGCTCTACTTCACCGCGCAACCGCTGCACTTCTGATTTCGGCGAGGTTCTCTCTGCATGTTTTAATGACTGGCTCATATCCTCCACAGCCATCCTGAATTCTTTCAATGCTTCGCAGGCCAAGGCTCTCCTGTAGAACAGCTTGGACTGGTCAAAATTCCGGTCGCCTGCCTGCTGAATTGCGAGAATGGCCGTGGTCGCCTTCTTCTTGGCCCGATCAGGCCATTTCAGCTTCAAGAGACAAAGTGCTGAATTGCTGAGGAGAGTGGCAACAGCTTCGGCAGAGACCGACGACTGCTGTCTCAGAAGCTCGAGGCCTTTTTCGTAATGCGCCAGCGCTTCCGGCACTTTTCCTGCTTTGAAGTGCTCATTTCCTTTGATGCGAGCCTCGTCGGGGTCTTGTAGGTCTCGTACAAGCAACATCTGCTCCAGTTGCACGGGCTCGCGTCGCTGCATGTCCCCAACCTCTTCGGCATGGCGAAGGTCACTTTCCTCCACAGAAAGGCCCTGGCCCTGAAGTGCCATAAGTGCCTGCATCACCCGAGGATCCCGGTGGGCAGCCTGCGCCACCTTCTGTCCCACCGCTGCGGCGGCCTGGGGCTCAGCTTCCGAAGAGTCATTTGCCAGCTGCTGCAGCCTCTTCAGCTCCGTAACGAAGCCAGGATCAGCCAGATGCTTGTGCACATCCGGGTGTTGCGCGAGCTTCTCGAAAAGGTTTGAGTCGCAAAGAGAAGTTGTCAGTGGATCCATGCGTCACTGTGACAGCGAGCTCTAAAAGAATCGCAGGGATTAGCACTTCTTGCCGCACGGCCGAAGCATGCCTGAATACGAGTAGCTGTGGATCGGGTCACAAAAAACTTGAAAAAGGTCTTGCAAGTCATTGCAGCCTGCTCTCACTGGTTCTGATTAATCTGTGTCTGGTAGATGACACACCCAGGACATCTTGCCATGTGTTTCAGAACGTGAGCGGCAAACGACTTTGACTGAAAATCTGCCATGAACACAAACGTCGCAACTGCATGCACATGCGTACATCCATCGCACAGACTTCACGTGACAACACCAGTGAATCCTGCCTCTCCAAGCACCTGCACTTTCGTGTAAAAGTCCGTAATCGGTCGCTTGGCCCCCCGGACTTTCCTTGAAGGCTCCAGTATGTCTTGCAACACACAGGGTGCAGCAAATCACCTTCAAGCCCTGTCCAAGTTGTCGCCAGCGGTCCACAGATGCAGGATGTTGTTGGCCCGGTGAGTCTCACCACCATCGAGCAAAAGCTCATCACCGTTCATTCGTTTTGGCGAGAGAAGGTCTCCTCGATCTAGCTGGTATATGCTTCTGAGTCTGGGAAGTCTACGTAAGTTACCAAATGCATCCGACGAATAATCCAAGACACTCAACGGATAGGTGGAGGATGACCAACTACGAGCGCGCTGTGGAGGTGAGTCTCCTGCAGACCGCAAGAACTGCAGGGACTCTGTTTACCACGCGGCATGAAACTGTAGTGAACCTCCGTCGCTGTCCCGGACAAAGCTGGTCAGTCGCGGCAATGACAGGACTCGCCTTAGATTCTGAAAGAAGCTGCTGTTGCCACAGCTGCCACGAATCTGTTATGCCCTTCTGTCGCCTGATGGCGCGGACATCTTCCCGGATCGTCCCATCAGGCTTATACCTCGAAGCCTACCCGGTTCAATCTGGTCAATCCTAGACCCAGGACAAAGTGACCGCACTTGTAATCGAAACCCAGATAAACTCTGAAGCCAGTGGTGGCACTGAAATTGCACAATTACGAACAACGTCGTGAAGTCATGCCGTCGTTCGTTCCTTGACAAGACACAAAGGGCTTTTTGCTGGATTTCCCTTGCTGGAGCAAGGAAAAGGCTTGACAATGCACACAAGGCTCCGTTGCTGGAGCCGACCCTCGAAGGCAGGTTTGAAGGTCGCTTTGCATCGCAGAGCTTCCCATTGTTCGAGCTGTTTCAGGTCGCCGGCCTGATCCGCTGGCCGACCCGGTTGGGCCGTTGCCCAATCTGCTTCCTTTTTAATTCTTTGCATGTTTTCTTTGGACCTGCTTTTGCCCTCCAGCCGAGGGGTGACGTTGGGCGCCATTGCAAGCCGCGGTTCGCCTGAATGGAACCACGAACTTCCTCGACAATGGTTCGACACAGACCTCTTTCTACTTGTTGGGCTGGATGCTAGCTCGTGGGCCTTCTTCTCAAACAACATGGCCAGCTGAGCTGCGCTCGGAATGTAGCAGGATGGAAAGAAACAAAATCAAACCGATATTCGACTTCGGTGCTTCCCAGCGGCATGCCTGCGATTGAGTCTCCCGCTTGCGGCTCAACGAAGCGGATCGAGTAACCCTTCCCATGCCAAGGATGGAGGCACTGTCTTCGTGCTTTAAATGCCAGGCTCAAAGATTCGGTACAGTGCAGGAGTATTGGAATCCAGTCAGTGCGTGGCCAACAAGAAACAACCAGCTTCAACTGTCCTCGAGGCATTTACAATCAAAGCATGCACAAAGGCAGGTGCCCATGGCTGCAGAGAGGATGAGACCAGAAGCATCTACAGCACTCATACTACATGTGTTGGCTGAGGGGACGAGACTGCGCAATGACTCGGACTGGAAATCCAGCCTTTTTTATTTGGACATATCATGTCGTCACTCACTGAAAGCCCAACGTTTGTTAGCCGTGGAGAGATGTTCGGTCAAGCCAGCATACGCTGTCAGGCAGGCGGTTCTTCTAGCATTACGCGAAAGCTGCAGTGACAGGACTGGCGAGTAAGAGCCCGGCAATATTTCCGGAGATCTTGCCTGGGATGAGACCTTGGCGAGGCTGATTGCTGCTTCTGCTGGTCCAAAAAAGCAAACAGCTAAAGGGTACAAGAAGTCCAAGAGGCCGCTGTAACCAGCGCACGCGGTGTAAGCCTCTGAAGGCGCACTTTCTTTCACTGCTTGGCAACACCTCATGGAATCCACGAATGTCGTGAGGCATCTAAGCGGCTCTGTCCATGCTGGGCAATTTCTTCTGCACTGGATGGGCTGCACGTTCTTTGGCCCGCTTCCTGCTGGAGCCATCGCGGGCAAACCGCCCCGAACTTCTTTAGAGGCGCTGAGCTCTAGCATCAAATACGAGAATATCTATCAGCGCACAGGCTCCTCATAGTGTCGTAATGCAACTCCATCAATCCTGACCTTGGTCGGCACATGCTGCAGACAAACACACGTCATCGGCCCTCATGTATCGAATACCACGATGCCAGCTATAGCATTGCTCCAGAGAGCGTCTGCTTCCAGCCAACTTCTAGTCAAAAGCATGGATCATTCATCATATCCGGACCTGCTTGACACCACGAATGATGCCAAGAAGATCCAAGAAGCGGCAAAATGTTGACAGCACATTGGCAGTGCTTTCATGCTTCCCTCCCCTCCTCCCTCCCCTCCCTCCCTTTGTTTGCTTTAAAGCAGTGTAGGCATGTACTTTCATCAATGACAACCACTCACATATATGTTCCGTAAGATTTGGCTCTAAATGGTTAGATCGACATCAGCTTTCTAAGCGAGTACAAAACAAACTTACTGCAACGCGTGCAATGGACCATTGGGTCTTCAAGGGACCACACTGCACCTGTATCCTCCCATAGGATATCGGGTCAGTTTTCTGGCAGCGGAGCCCGTGTTCAACGGAGTGGAACACTTCAAGAAGAAGATGAGACCCTTCTTTGTGAAAGGCGAGCGGTATGTCTGCCTATGGAGGTTCCTGGGTCTTTTCAAGGCGTGGATTGTGGAAGGGCAACCAAGACTTCGTTACTTGGATTGCCAAGTTCGCTATAGTTTTGCAAAGGTTGCAAAACTGATGGATGGACCTTCTACCGGAAGTAGCTGCGGCAGATAATCCACCGGAATTCGCAACAGGCAGGATCCGACCTTTGGACGCCTACAAGAGCCAGAGGAACAGGCAGCATACACAGAACAACAATTCCGGGAATGGAATCGCTAACGCGAAGACGCCCACAGGTTTGCCTGAATGACAATCATAATCCCCTGTCTCTTTTATTGCTCGTGCAGTCCGATCTTAATGAACACCAGAAAGAAAGGCTTGTATTTTCACTAAGTCACAAAGCGTACCGGATAGAAACCTACACGTACAATGTCGTTCGTCAAACAATGTTTGTGCAGTTTGCAACGACGAAGACAGGTCTTCAGGACCCAGACATCCGGCACTCTCACAAGAAGGACCGGCAAGGAAGAAGAGATACACGCCGCAGGCGCGGAGGACGCAACTTTCTCTTTGTTGACCAAGGCGAATAAGATGGCGCAGAAGGTTACATGGATGCCTGGATGACCATGAAGCCTTCGTGTCAAGGAGGTTCAAGAAAGGAAGGAGACCAAGAATGCGTCCCGGCTCAGCGGGAAGAGCAAAAGGTGGTAAAGATCACGAAGTCGTTTCAGGCCCTATCCAGGCAGACGGACAAGAGCATCCATCCGATCTCAGTTACTACGGTAAAGGAAAAGGAAATGGAAAGGACATGGGTGGCAAGGGCAAAGGAAAAGGAAAGGACAAAGAAGACAGTGCAAAGCCTTTTTAAGGAGCTGAGAAAGGAAAGTAGAGGGATTCGGCTTAAGGCCGCATCCTCAACAGGGGATCAAGCGAACGCTTCTCCTAGACCCTATGAAGCCACCACGCATGAAGACAGCTACTATGCTGATCAAGGATGGAGCTACGCCACATACGAACAACAGTCGTACTCATACGCAGCATTTGCTTCATGCAGAAAGACATGGAAAAAGAAAACAAAAGGAAGAACAAAAGGATCAAAAGGCAGAGGCGCAGATCCGAGTCCGCGGATGAACCCCGTGTCGGACTCTTGCGAAAGTTACCATTCCTTGCCTCCTGTTCAATAATACAGGAATACATACTGCCACAGCAGTTTTGCCGATGCAGCAAAATGTGCTGTCTGCTTTTACAGAACGGATCCATCTTGACCGAAACCCCACCTATGTCATTCTTGAGTCAAGGTGCACACGTGCTATGGGTTCCCACTATGCAGTCAACCGACTGATCAAAGCGGTGGAGCGCTACGCACCCGGCAAGATGGAGTTCACTTTCTCTCCATCCAAACACTGAGCTTTCGTTTGCTGATAGTGAGACTATTCTTATGAAGGAGAAAGTCACTCTGTGGACTCTGTGGTTCAAAACCACGCCACCATGCGACACAACGATTGAAGTTCTTGACCAAGGTCGTGTAGCAATTCTGTCCTCAATTGACTAGATGCGGAATCTACGCATGACCTTCGAGTGCAGTTCCACGGCAGACCTTGCTACTTGCGAATCCTTCGGACTCTATAAGACGCCTCTCCCAATCAGCACCAATAACCATCTTGTGTTGGATCTGCTCAGCTTTACTTCCACCTCGGAGAAGAATCCTCCTGTAAATCGTACTTTCGAATCCTCCTGTTAATCGTACTTTCGAAGCGACGGCTCACGCAGCAGGTGATGAAAATGCACCGAAGTGCCTGCCTGTAATGGAAGGCATGCGAAGCACACTTACAAGCATGGTTTCTCTGTGTGCAAAGGAGAAACGCCTTGAACAGAAGGACTTCCTGCATCAGTTCCACCATTCAAGTGTCAAACTCTGAGTAAAGACACCGTGCATGAATTTATCCTGAGAGTATAGGACATGATTTGTACGGATAATCTCTCCTAAGACTCTGACAATCGCGAAGAAAGAGTGAATCGTATCTCAGCTGAGTTTATTTATGACACGGACATCTTTTACACAGGAGATCCATTTTCATACATGGAGCCCCGTCTTACTCCGCAGCTTACTTTGTAACATGTGTTATAGGTCACCCATAAACTATTGTCTGTTTGTTTGCTGTTGAGCAGTGCAGGCATGTACTTTCACCAATGACAACCACTCACATGTGTTCCGTAACATGTGGCTCCAGGTGGTTAGATTGACATCAGCTCTGTCAGCGAGTGCAACACCAGCTTACTGCAGCACGTGCAAGGGACAAGTCATTAGCTCTTCAACGGACCACATTGCACATGTATGCTTCCATAGGAGAGAATATCGGGTCACCCCTGCCTCGCCTCCCTCCCATGAGCGGAGGGGAGGGCAGGGGAGTGGGGGAAGGGAGGGGAGGGGAGGGGATACCGGACTGAGCGGCACACGAGCTCTTCAGCGCAAGCTGGTGCCGCGATGGGGAAAGCGAGCCATTGTGAAGGTACTCCTTTCGTTACACATGCTGTGCGTCCTGGTGGCTGCAATGGTCGGGGTTTAAGGG